AGACAAATCCTCAGAAGTGAAATTGCTGGGCTAAAGGGGATGTGCATTTGTAATTTTCATAGTTACTATCAAATTTTCCTCTACAAGAGTTGTGCCAATTTATGCTCCTCCTGTAATGTTTAAGAGTGGGGATTCCCCCACAGTCTTCCCAACAGGGTGTGACGTTCAACTTCTGATTTTTGCTAATCCCATAGGAGAACATTGGTATCTCAAAGTGCTGTTAATTCAGCTTTCTTATATAAGCAATATTGAGCCTCTTTTACTCTGTCCAAGATCTAATTGTGTATCCTTTTCTGTGGATGGCCTGCTAATATATTGTTTTGGTGGATTTTTGTTGTTGTTTTTCTACTGTTTTGAGGGAACTCTTTATATTTTAAGCAAATTATCCCATTGTCTGAGATAGGAGTTACCAATATTTTATCCCTCGTTTGTTTTTGTGTTTTGACTTTGCTTCTGGTGACTTCTGCCATCCTGGAAGTGTACTGCCTGCATCATTTCTTCTCATACCCCCATGCCTTTCTTCATTCTGGGCCCTCCACTGAGAGTGCCCTTTCCTTTCTTTCTACGTGGGGAACTCCTGCTCATCCTTTGAGGCCTGACTCGTGTGTCACCCTTTCGACCCTCGTCCTTCACAGATCTTGTCACTTCTGCTGGCTGCTCCTTTCATCCTTTATCTTACTTCTACTTGTCATGTTGCCTTATTTTTGCTTGTATACATCTGCCTCTCCTATCTACCTTTCTTGTTTTTGTACTCCCAGCCTCTAGGACGTAGCATTTGTATAATAAATGTTTATTGAACAAATGAATAGAGAAATCATTGGCAGCTGTTACTACCCACGCTTACTCCCTATAGTGCTTCATCTGGTCCTGTTTTATGAAGCTTGTGCATCAAATGTCCCTTTGTAGAAAAACAGAAATGAAGGGGTGTGGTAAGGAGGCTTGTCTTGGTGGCCAGTGACGTTTCTAGGTACTTTGCAGCACTCAGTGATGAGGAGTAGGCTTCTAGCTCCCTGAGGAGAACTCTCATGGTCCCATTTATGTTTTCTCTTCTGTGTCAGCTCCAAGAAAAGTCAATGACCACACAGACATAATATTTTTTTCAGCAAAGTTTATTTCAGAATCATTGAAACAGTGTGATCATACTCCCTCACTCATAAATATTCCTATTTAAATAATCTGAGCTTATATATTTTCAGCCTTGGTGAAAGGACTTGATGTAAAGATGGTACTCTAGTCCAAGTTAAACTAGTTCCATAGATATTGAAGATTGGGCTCGTTCACAGACGCTACTGCTTCTTGTCCCCCTTGAATTAAATTAAATAGACTAACCCACCAATAAATAAATAAATAAATAGTTAAGTGGTCATCAGAAGCTGGGCTCAAAGGACAGAGGGTTTCTTTGAACCTGATGTGCAGTGGTTTCTACCAGGCTGGCTTTGAGTGAGTAGGAGAGGTGAGAGAGGCCCTGTTCAGCAGAGGAGGTCTGAGGATTGGCCCTGGGAGGAGGGGCCTGTTCCTCCAGGCTGGTGAGCAAGAGATCTCCTTAGCACTAATATAGGGAAGGCAGCTGGGCATTGATTAGACAAGAGTGAAGTTCAGCTTGCAGCCGTGTTCAAACCCCCTCTATTCCCCTCTGCCACCTCTAGGGGTTCTTCAGTACATGTGGACTCTCTGGGTATGCTTCTCTTTAGGCAGAGATGATTTCCATGGTGAAATCAGTTATGTCCTGGCCGCCTTTGGTATTTCCTAGGAAGACGGGCTGTTTTTCTGTTTGAGAGGTGCTGATGTACCAGTTGGGGTACATTGCAGACTCAAATTCCACGTTGCGCTTGATTTCCAGCTTGTTGAAGACAAATCGCTTTTCCATTTTCCTCTTTGGGTAAATTTTGGGGTCTACCTTCTGCAGAAAAACAGAAGTAAGAATTTTTGTGAGGGAAGGGACCAAGACACTCTGGTAAAAATGTTCCGTGGGTCAGCTAAAAGGAAACTGAGGTTACAGGACGGGGAGTCAGACTCCTGAGTTATCTTTGTGACCCTAACTTTCTGTGTGGTGACTAAAGGAGCCCTTATCCTCTTGTGAAACTTAGTATCAAATTCTGGGGAGTACAACATAGGTGGGAAGTCTTTTAAAAAGTGAAAATTACGTTAAACCTTCTAGGATTATCTAGTTTTCAGAGACTTTTCCTTTGGCCTTGGCTAGAATGGGTTTGAACTTGGAAATGATGGTTTTGCTGGGAAAGCAGGGGGGGAGGGTGATTATGGGAGTAGAGTGGAGTTGATGACAGGTGCCTTGAATTGCTTAATTTCCCAAAGTGTCATCTATCAAATGGAGCA